TGCACCTCCTACCAGTTTCAGTGCGCTTTTCTCTTTCCTTCTAGTTGTAGAATTTCCACTCAGCCAGCCTTCCCGTGGTTCTGGATGATACCCATTTTGTCTTTTAGTTGTGGTTTTGATGTGGTTGTGCCAGGCAGCAAAGTACAAGTGTGTACCTATGCGCCATCTTAGTTCCTTTCCAATGTAAATGTTATTAATTGTTCTTCAGATTTCAGAACTATACATAAATGCTAAGAGTTATAATAAAAGTAGAGTTAATTAATTTTACAAGCAGAATATAAATATTATCTTTGAACAATAAAAAATTAAAGTTATACATTGGGATTGGCAAACTACAGCTTGCCATCTGTTTTTATAAAGTTTTATTGTAGCACAGCCACACACTCATTGATGTTATTGTCTGTGGCCGCTTTCATGCTACAATGACAGAGTTGAGTACTTGCCATAGAGACTTATGTCTCTCAAAGCCTAAAATAGGCACTATTTCATTTTTCACAAAAATGTTTACCAATCCCTGGTGTTATTGTAACTCCAGTTTTTTTTCCTTGACTCCACCTGCTTGCATGCACTGGCCCAGAGAAATGCATGAGCAGGAGTTTGCAGTATAGAAAGCAAAATAATTTAATACTGAATTGACCAATATGGAGACTTATGCTCTAAAAATCTGACGCCCCGATGGCATGTAGAAAACTAGTCTCTTAGAAGTGGAAAATGTCAATAGGAAACTAGCTTTTCATTTTAAGCTCCTTTGCCTTGTTTGATATTTTGCTTAAATCATGTTTCTGTATTATTTTTAATTAGTCTCCTTTTTCTGTGTTTGTGAAAAGGATTTCTGCCAAATATATTGAGTTAAAATACTTTAGCAACCTTTACTAGTCTGATAAGTCTAGCATTAAAGTTTTAGCCTTTATAAATTGACCACATACCAGGTTATAAAGCAGTTCTTTTTTAAAAAAATATATATTTTTATTGATTTCAGAGAGGAAGGGAGAGGGAGAGAGAGGT